CCCAGACTCTCTTCGTGCGAATCATGATGGTGCTACTTGGTGGGGCCAATTTTCGAATTCTTCCAGTCTATAACTGCTATACAAGTGCCCTAAACCCCAAACTGTATATGGTAATTGCTCAAAATAAGACACCCCCAATATGGACCCCGATATACTATAGTCCTTGTTAGGGGGACCCCCAAAATAGCGGATCCCAAGTTCTATGGAAACCCATCATGTCAAATGTGTCATGGGCTAGGGGAGTGCCCCAGAGTTGCCCGCAAGCAGCAGACAGGATTGCTTGGCAAACGTCCTGTGCTGTAGCAGGCGGCATGGACCGTGAGCAGAGCGATCTCATCGTTAACATCTGATGGTGCCAAATATTTGAAAACATTTGTTTACCTGAAGCTGCAACTCTACGAGGTTCCACTAGCTAGGGTTTAGGGGTTTAGGGTCTGGGGTTTGGACACGAGACAGGAACTCGGTTCTGTTACATCAACGCATGGGGGAATGAGCTGAGCATCTTGGCTTATGTAGAAAGATGGAATGTGATGGTAATACGGTGCATGGAGGAAATCTTGCACAACTTAGGGTCTCCAACGTGCTGTGAGTATTTGGGCTATCTAGGACAGTGCAAGATCTCCTCCGTCAACAGTAGGAAAGGTAATGTTAGGATAATGGAAAAGAAAATGGAAACTACTTTAGTGTAGTATATCCGGGTTATATTGGGATAATGGAAAAGAAAATGGAAAGTACCATTTAAGGTTTGGGGTTTGGCACTCAGGTACGTTGTCACATGAACTCGTACAAGTGCGTCAGCCGAATCCCAACCTCATTGTCAACTCCTGACCTCGCATTTGAGGTTTAAGCAGAGTACATAGAGCTTCTAGACAGTCTGCTAGTGCGAAGTTATTGGCCTAATATGGGCTTTCCCTATCTGCCCGAGGATGACTCGTCGCAGGTGACCAATAAAACATCGCTTTCAAATAGCCAGGGAGGAACTGCCTCATACAGCTGATCCTAAAACCCTTAAAGTGCTGAAACCCTGAACTGTGAACCCTCAACCTTAGAATTCATCGTCGCCCGCTTGGTCTTCCAAGTACTGGGCAATGGTCTGAGAAACCTTGGCACCAGGACTATGAGCTTCTGGCAGGCCTGGTTGTTTCCATACACGCATGAAATCTGCGCTTTACCATTTTCTGGGTTGCTGTTAAG